TTTCGCATGGGTTCAAGGTGCGTGAGGCATACGCAATTGGCTGCCTAACACCATCTACCTCTTGAGACAACACAGCCGCAATGGCGACGGAGGAAGCATCGGTTTGCAAAACAAACTTTTGACTGAAATCTGGCATCGCCAAAACCGGGGGTTGCATGATAGCTTCTTTCAGAAGATCAAAAGACATCTGTTGTGCTTCACCCCAAACAAACTTGGCGCCCTTCTTCCGAAGCTCATTGAGAGGAGCCGCCAACTCAGCCACATTGGGGATGAAACGCCGGTAGAAACCCACCATGCCAATGAAACGGGCAATGCCTTTGACATCTCTGGGAGGAGGAAACTCCCTGATAGCCTGGGTTCTAGCCGGATCGATACAGACACCTCGTGAAGATACTAGATGACCTAGGAAAGAAATCTCAGCCTGAGCAAAACTAACTTTCTCGGGATTTACGGTAAGGCCAGCCCTAAGCAACCTATTCATGACTTCCTCAAGATGAACCAGATGGTCTTCAAAGCTCTCACTGTACACCAAAAGATCGTCAAGATAGTTGAACACAAATTTGAACTTGACGTCATGGAAGATGGAGTCCAGAAGTCTGGTGAGGGTCTGGGCCCCCACAGCTAGGCCCATGGGAACACGTGTGAACTGGTACAAGTTCCACGGAACGCAGAAGGCAGTGAGAGGTCGAGATTCAGGTTTCAAAGGAATCTGATGGTAAGCCTGGTTCAAATCAAAGACGGAAAAATACTTGGCCTTACCGAACCAATCGAACGCAGAGTGCAAATCAGGGAGAGGGACAGAGTCAATTTCAATCTGAGCATTCAACTTGCGATAATCTAGAACCATTCGAGACTTGCCATTTGGCTTTGGAACTAGAAAAGCTGGACTTGCGTAACTTGAGCGAGAAGGCTCAATTACCCCATTTTCAAGAAGCTCATTGATGATTCCACGGAGTGTCTCCATCTTGGGTGGAGCAAGTTTGTAAGGATGAGAACGAACTGGACGGGTGTCAGTCAAACGGATTTCGTACTCCAAAAGATTGGTGACTCCAAGCTTTGGCGTCAGCACCTCAGGAAAACGAGAACACAATGTTCTGATTGCTTCAGCCTCGCCAGGAGTCAGATGCCCTAAAGGATCAACTTTTGGTTTGCTGGGTGTCTCAGGCTCGACCACAGCTGCACCATCCACAATTTCATCCGCAAAAGGAATGAGCACCCGTCTTGCGAAACGAAAGAAGCACTGGCCTCTGCCTAAATCCAAAATCAGGCCACAATGCTTGATGAAATCCGCTCCCAAAATGACAGGAATGCAAAGGTCCTTGGCTACCCAAAAACTCCAAACCCAAGAAAAATGTTCAATCTTGAATTTCAAACGGGCTTCATAGATGATAGGAAGTGGGGATTTTGATGCAGTCCAGCAGATGTGTGTACTTCGCTCAACTTGCTTGATTAGCCCAGAAGATTTTAGATTTTCAAACAGGGAAAGGGAAATGAGACAACGGGCTGACCCAGAATCCACAAGGGCCTTCTGCACCGTTTTACCTAAGAAGATGTTGAGTCGTGGGCAAGTTGAGCGCGCCGCTTTCACTCCCATGCATGCAAGCTCCCTCATTCCCCGCGACAGAGGCTCCCCAAAACCAGCACTCCCAGAAGGGGCAGTACTCACAGAAACCAAATTCCTGCTGACTTTCTCCAAAACAGCTTTCTCACAGGGCGGTTTAGGCAAACTTTCCCCTTGTGAGCTACTCAGGGTTTTGGACAAAGTCCCAAGATTAACCCTCTGACGACACTCTCGTCTCATGTGACCTGTTTGACCACAGCCAAAGCAAACGATAGGATGCCTCTGTCTCTGCGGTGTTTCAGGACCTCGACACACGGATGCTACAGCGGGATGGGGACCAGTCCGGGGAAGATGCCCCGCAACGTGCTCCCTCTGACAATCAGCGTCTTGAACGCTCCGTGAAAGGATGACCAACCTATCCAGGTCTGCAAAAGAAGAAGGCTTTGGAGCAAAAATCAGTCTGGACCGCTCCTCAGGCTTCAACCCCTGCAAGACAATGTCCACCAGTTGGTTTTCAGGGATGCCCAGCCGTAGGACACGCCACACGCCACAAATGTCACCCACATACTGACTGAGAGATTCATCCAATTTTTGAGGTCGAAACACTCTCTCAACCTTCAATCTCTCCATGACCCTGAAGGGGACAAAGAGCTCAAGTACTTCACTGTGAAAATTGTCAAAATTTACTCCCCGTTTCAAACAATCTAACAATTTGTCACCAAGAGGTCTCAGGCAGAGTGGAACCAGCAGTTCCAACACTACTGAGTCCTCCATGCCTGGGAACTCCTTCAGGTGCAACACCTTTCCCAAAAACTCTAACAAAGGTTCCACCTCTAAACCATCAACCGGGCGAATGTCGCTCAAAACCCCAGCAATGGGATTGGGCAGTGGAGCAAACAAACCCATTTTGCTCACAGTCAGTCGGTCTACCTACCTTCCAAAACACACACAAAAAAATTTTTTTTTTTTTACAACGAACAATTCACAAACTTAACTAACTAAAGGCTCTGGACTGAAATGCCTACAGTCAGATGAGGTCCCAAACAGAAGAACCTGCCCATACACACCGCTTTAGCCACCAAAACAAAAACACGGGCTTACACTCACCACATACACACATACATACATACACTAAACAACAACACCTAACATTTGTGTGATGAGGTAAACACACACACACACAGTTTCAATTTTGGGATTGGCCATGCTTTTGACACTCTTGCTCCCAAAGGATGCAAGTCATTAACCAGATTCCACCCGGTGACTCGGCCAAGGGCGAGCTCCTAATAAAAAACTTCAACAGTGTGCTTACCCCACCACGACAACATTTCTTCAAAAAATTCCTAAGACTGCCAGACCAGCATCACCCAAAAATCAAATCCAACCACGGCCCTTCGTGGATAGAGCACAAATAACCACGCTCTGCTACCATCTGAGCCGACCCCTCGCACCGCCCCCAGACGAACGACTTTTGGAAGCATGCCCCCCCATAGTGACAGTGCGAGTGGCCGCCCCACATCCCTAACAAAATGAAAGGCCGTGGGTGAATATCAAAAAACAAACAGTTGTCAACAAAGCCTATAATTTTCAAAATCTACAAATAACATCAAACAACGATCATTTCCCCATCCAAAGAATTTATCAATTTTAAATAACACTTTTCTCAAAAAATTTACCCTTCCAGATTACAAATGGTAACTTAACTGTGAAAAAGTTAGGCCTAACTAATAATTTAAGGATGGTAACTGCAATATAAACTTTGAATGAATTAACAATTAAATAAATAACAATTAAATAAATAACAATTAAAAAATAACGATGACTATGACACATAAATAACCGAAGATGAATTATTTTGGGGCCCCTTTAAATAACAGTCCTTTTAAATATTCATGCCTAAACATAAAACTTGCGGTTTCCTTTTGCACATCATAGTCATTGTCCTTCCTGGTGGTAGGCGGTGGTGGTAGAAGGCGTAGTGTTCTACTGGTCCCAGAAGCAGGGTGACGGGCAGCCCGAAGAAGGAGAAGTTGTAGTGTCTCCCCGGGCGACCCTCTCCGGAAGCAGCAGAATGAAGCCTCTCATCTGGGACCTCATCTGACGACTGGCAAAACACTTAAACCATGTTCAAAATTCGCTGGTGTGGAAAATAAAGCAATTGTCTGAAGTAAAATATTTTGCCTTCAGAAAACGACAAAGTTTGACAGGTTAAATTGACAGTCGCTCGCCTTCTGCCGAAAATGTGCTCGACAGCGGAAAAATTGCCCCGGGGTCTGCAGGACTGCTGCCAGACCCAAACCGAATGAGTTCCGGCGCAAAGCCAGTACTCGCACTATATAAAAAACACTGAGGCGTGCCATTGGTGGGACGCTTGGTGGGCAAGTCACGGCTCAGTGGTTTGAGGGAAAGCAATCCCATCCCTCCACCCCTCATAACATTGAAAAGCAGACAGCTGATCAGGGGAAATAATAAACTAAAAACTGCTGGGGGAACTCAAGAAACCTTCTCCTTAAACGGCCTTAATTTTGTGAACGGATAACAACTTTTAAATTTGAAACAATATGTATTTAAATAAAAAATAAAATCACAAAATATAAAAACTTGCATATTCTAGAATAAACTTGTGAATAAACTGCACACACTTTTCCCTAACAGACCAGAAGTTGTTGTTCCTTTTTAATGTTTAATATTTTCTTGTTGGTTTTATTGAAAGCAATTATTTGAAATCGTTACACATTTTTTGCCCTGATTTTTCTTTAGTAGTTTGCTATAAACCAACTGTTCACATTTTACAAACTGCACAGTTGTTTTATTTTTGTTAGTCAAATCTCAAGACTTTGACATAAAAAATTTGCTGTGAAAAGTACTTTTTATGTTTCTTATAACTAAACAAATGCTTGAAACCCTTGTATCAAGTTTTAACCTCTTTTAAATAAACATCCCTTTTACAAAAATAATCCAATGGTGTAGAAACACAATTAAAAAAAAAATAAAAAGGAAATCTTTTAGGGATATTTAACATGAGATTCATTGAAATAGAACTGGTCTAGCTCATGGTCTGTCACAATCCCAATGGAAAACTGTCCCTTGGTCCTTAGCACAGTAGTTCTTAGAACTTAATATAAAGTTGTATCATTACAGATACAGTTTCAGCTTGAAATTGTGTTAAACCCTGTATTATTCACAACTTACTCATAATGGGAAGAAGAAATAAAAAGTCACTGCATATAAGCACTTTTTTTTAGTTTCAATGCAGCTAAGAGTTTGAAATAAACAGAAACAAACCACAAATTCATTTGCTCATACAACAATATTTTACCAATTAAATAATCTGTTTTAATATTTCCAGGTTTTAGTAATATTCTATGAAGAAACATGTTTCTAAAATATGTGGATGTATTTTTACATGAGTGTGTGTTTTATGTCTGCGTGTGTGTAGGTTCCGATGATAACGGACCCGCCAAACACTCTGACCCTCATCTTAGCAGCACAACCATCATTTCCATCGTAGTGGCAGCCCTACTCATCATACTGGTCATTGTAGACGTCTCCTGCTTCTTTGTCAACGATACAGGTACAAAATTATTGGAGGTTTCATTGTAATCAGTATATTTATATAGTGTCAATTAGAGTTGCATACACAAGAACCCTTCCCCAACCAACTGATTGCAGTTGATAAGTTTATACCTCTAGAGTCTTGTGGTGTAACTCTCGGTGTAGTTGGGAGCCTTTCCCTACATCCCTTTCATCTCTCCCTACAAGCCATCCTAAATAACGCCACCTTTTAGATAAATCGGAAATTTTGTAGTTTTTCTCTAAGGAATGGTCTAAACTCTCTGTTTCTTAACTTTTTGATAGATATCTGTATCAATTGATAGAGCAATGACAAATGGCATTTGGGTCTACGCCATGTCTCTCCGGCCTTTTATGAAACAGATTTCATTTTTATATTCAAAAATATTTTTCACTCTTCAATATTAAGGTTAATATTTACTATTTATGTTTGAAAGTTCATTGGGAAATTTTAAATATTTATTTAGTTTATTACCTTTACGCCTACATCAATATCTGATGATTTGTTTGTATTCAGGAATTCTTCATATCATGTGTGGAAAGAGCAAGAAGAACAAGAATGACGATGATGCCAAACTTGGAAGGTAAATGGTTGTTTGAAATAATTCATTCTAATCAGTTAACTTATAAATAGATGTGTCGCAGTAAATAACAGTCTATCGTTTACAAATCTAAATGTTGAAATTTTAAGATCTGAAGACGTTTGAGATACAAGAAAAACCAGCTTTTAAGGGGTTATTTGCTGTTTTGTGAATTGTCTTGAAAATATATAAATTTATAAATAAGTTTGCTCATGTTTATCTTCAAAATATGAGCATTATTAGCTCATTATTAACTATTAGCTACAAAATATGAGTGAGAAAGAGGATGATGTCAAGCTGGTTAAAAGTTCCGCATGGAGGAGTATGACAGTAGTTATAGTTTTCAATAATAAATAGCCCACATTGTAATAAAAACTTTATCGTGCTGCCCAAAACAACACAAAGTTGAAATAAAACTTGTTGAATAAAACTACAAGAAATCGATCCAACATTAACACAGGTACTGGAACTTTAACTTTTGATTGTCAGTTCTGATAAGCAAAACAGTATAATTCATTAGTTAAAATGTTTATGTAATTATTTTATTAATATTTACTTTTTACATTTCAAAACAAAATGGGACTGGTTTTTCTCTTTGACATCGACATTAAAATAATAAAAACTATACTTAACTTAAACGTTTCTAATCCTTTAAAGGCCCGGTTTCCCCAACTCATTTAAACTTAGTTTTAAGTTAAACGGCGATTTAAACTTAGTTTAACTTTGATTTGTGTTTCCCCAAATTTAAACTAGGTATTAATCTAAGTTCAAACTAAACCACCTCTTGACTTGGTTTAACTACTGGGGATAAAATAAACTGAGTTCAAATCAGTAAATTACAACAGTAACATAACCTCAAATCAAAACAAAAAGTAGGTGTTAAAACAATAATAATTGAAGCAACTACAAATTCATTTGAACGAAAATAGGCTTGGTTTAGGGATAGTTTTAAGTTAAGTTTTATTTAATTTTAATTTATTGTTTTTATTAAGTTTTTTTTTTTAGTACATTTGATTTTATTTCAAGTTAGGCTACTATTAATTAATTGCAGTAACTTATTTACTCCCTCAAACGGAAGAGTTAATAGACATTTCCGAAGAAGTAGAAGATGAAGATTATGATACTTTAGTACCTAGAACAAGAGGGCCTATTAAAATAAGGGACAGAATTGACCATTTCAATAAATGGAATGAATCTGAATTTGACAACAACTTGTAATAACTTTATAACATAACCTTAAACAGTGATGTTATTCTATAGCTGCATTCGCACTTTGCTGTCTGCTCTATGGCTCTACTGAGTTGTAGCGTAGCGTTGTGGTGGTTGTAGAAAACACCAGCCCAAAGGCCACTGAAGATTCCTTACAAATACACATTCAGGATTGCCAACCGCTCGAATTGCCGTTTATCTTAAACAAAGCCAGTAAAATGTTGGAGAAACCAAACACACATTTTAAACGGAGTTTAAAAGTAAGCTAGTTTATTATAAACGTAGTTTACACCGTTTTGGGGAAACCGGGCCTTAATAGTCATTTTCAATCTGGATACCAGTAACTGTTTATGATCAAGGCTCAAGCAGCACGCTTAATCCTTTACTCTATGTACACTACTCTGTGTGTTTGATAGTCTTTACAGCTGGCGATTCCCTCTCCCGTACTGCAGTAACGCCTCAACCTCGAGCTCCGAGAGCAACCACTCCAACTCGGAAACCGAGAAACTTCCTCTCCCACCCGATGTGAACTTTGTCTTGTAAGAAGTCTTCCTTTATCTCTGTGTCTTCTTCGCAAACTGTGCAAAGTTTCTACCAGTCGTCGTGATCGGTGCTACCAGACTATCCGCTTTAAATGTGTAGTTGTGATGTGATTTGTGAAGTGCTAGAGACTTTTTTTATTCCTTTCAGTGATTGAAGAAATTTTTAGTTAGCGTACGGATTAACCAAATCATCATGCCTGGTGTGAATTAAGTGAAATGCTTTAGTTGGGATTGAATTTAGTTGTGTGGCTTGCCTGCATTTTGTAATTTTATTTTTGAAACTTTTTGAACTTGGGATTTCTTTCTGTTACAGTGAGGGAAAGGAGCTTCTCAACAATGGACACAGGGACCTCAAAGTTCAGATTGAATCAGCTCCAATGTTAGAGTGAGTGGAAATTAATTAATAATTACGTTTTCAATAGTTTAACCCTAATGATAAGGTTTGTATTTTTAAAATAAATTTTTTTTATTTTAAACTTCAAATTAAATAGTTAAATTTTGTCCAGAATAAAAATGTTTACACAGTGAAGACAAAGGTAGATACATTAACTGAGGAAAACTTCTCTTTTTATCTCGTATACACTAAAGATTCATACATTTCTGGGATATGAAAACTAATAAATTATGTATTTTTATAAGTTTTTTTAAGAATATTTAATAATGATGTCTACATCATTATACACTTTAGTTTTTCTTTGTATAACTGTTTAACACCTCTCTCTCAGTTTTGCTTTCAGAAATCTTTTCCAGGTACCAACACACGGTATTTGATGCTCAAATTAAATTTTTTTAAACCATATTTAGAATAATTCAATTCAAATATCTTTATTCGTTATGTACATTGTACAATAAATAGTGTCAAAATAATTACAATAAAAATAGTGTCAAAATAGTTCAACAGGATAAAAAACAGCAAAACATGAGGAATGGTTATAAAAACAACAAATACATTTTACAAATAAAGTATTGTTTAAAAGTGAACATTTTTATTTAGATTCAATAATATTTTTCTACGCATCATTCTTTCAATCGTAGAATACATAACTAAACAATTACTTAATGTTGAAAACAATCATTAAAGCTCAAATAAATATCATAAATAATAGGAAATTAAGCATTTTTGTTTTATGTTTCAGTAAAAAAGACACAACAGTTGAATTTGATCTGAAGAAAGCTACTTCCAAGACCAGTTTTGTTGGTAAGGACTCGGCAGTTTGAGTCGCCCAATGAGAGATGCCTTGTCTTTCACCCTGGACCTGGCTACTAGAATGTATAGTCGTGAACCTGTGTTGGCTTGTGTCTAGCTTGTATAGTTTAGATTTAGACTTTTCCGTTTACTAACTCAATTAGCTTTGGTTCGTGTGTGAAATGTCAACTGACGTACAATGCAGCTTTATACTAAACTTGAGAACACTCAATCATTCAGAAGTCATTTTGTAAGTCAAATATTTTACAACTTAGTCAAACAGAAGTGTAAAATCCACAAACCATGTTTAGCAAACCTGATAAATGATCAAATAGAAGAACACTCATTGATGTAAGAAAGATTTTATAAGTTTTGTTAAACTTTTTACACCTACGATCTACTTATTTTTTACTATATTTTGTTAGAATAGGATGAATTAGTCTTATTTTGTGATGTGTACATTGATTTTAGGTTTAGTTTAGTAATAGTCTGTCATTGTGGCGTATTATTAATTTTACTTTCTATATATAGGGTTATTACATTGATATTATGTCTATGATTTCAAATTTAACTTTTATAAAGAAAACACAAATATATTTTACACAAATTCTTGGCATTTTAGAACTTTGCTAAACAAACCCCTTCTGACTCAAGGAATCAAAGATTTCAATTCTAAACGTTTTGTTGTAAGTATAATATCTCGAGAAATTGCTTTTATACAATTTATAGTTCTTTAGTGGAACTCAAGTAAGATTCCTGTATGGTGTACACACGTTTACCTGTGATGCAGCTCCATAATTAAATCTGAAAACGTGATGTCTGAAGATTTTCAAAAGACAAGCTCAGGAGTTCACCATTATTTAGATATACCAGATCTGTTTTTAAAATTCCTGTATTCCAATATGTCCACCAAACATCATTCACAACAACTGATTCAACAAACAGTGCTATTTGTCTGAACTCAAACTTTCTAAAAATACGTAATCTTGTAATACTATTATCAAAATCAAAAACATTATGTAATAACCCTGTATTATAAACAACCTCTAACAATATTGTAGTTTATGTAGCATTCTGAAGGATAGATCTGCTCTGAGAACCACAGATAACTCTTATTCAAGGTACATTCTCAATCCCAAATGACATTGACAAGTTCTACTACTCACACAGATCCTAGATACAATTGTCACCCCCAGCCTTACTAAAACTGCCCTACATCTGTTCCTTTCGCATCCTACACTCTGTACATAGTTCACCGAAAGGCCTACCATATCAGACAATAACTTCCGATCACGATGCTTCTTCTGGCTAGATCTAAGAATGCTGTGATGTTTGAACGAGACCAGTTTTCGCTTTGTGTGCTTCTCAATTGACTTTGCCTTATGTTGAGTAAGACTGAGTGTTGTACTTATACCGCATGCTGAGATAGCAAATATTTGTACATAACCCAACCTGTAGGGATTAGGTAAAGAAATTCAATCTAGATAAATCCAACATTGTAAATACTAGAAATACATGTTTCATCCTAATTTTGTATTGAAATGACAAAATTTGTAATTTTTACTAAGAGCGATAAGGTTTCTCGCTGAGCATGTTGTTTATCAAATTGTTGTTTATTTAATATGAGAAAGTTGTGTTTGATGATTTCAGTGGACATTGTAGCAACAATTTGACAAGTTCTTCAATCGTTTGGACTCAAAGAGTTTCTTCTCTCGCCTTTGTCTGTGTTCAGATTTTGTTGATTTTTTCTGACATTCTGTATAAAGTATTATTTCTGAATGAATGTTTACCTAAGTTCATAGTATTGTGGTGTGTATTGGGGCCAGACCAGATAGTAAAGACTGTATACTGCTCTCATCCTATTTTAACGAAAATGTCGCCCTAATTGATACCCAGAAATCAGCTTGGTCCGACGGATATATTACTCACTTGTTTACATTGTTTCGTGAATTATTTTATCGTTATGTTTCATTAAAGTTAGTAACTTTTTTTTTTGTACATGAAAGTCAATTACAAGGATGTGTAATATAATTTAGTTTATTGTACACAAATATATCTAAAATTAACAATAACCACTTCCATTTTGGATCATGAAAACCAGTGGTTTCATTATTACTGGCATTTCCTTAACTTCAGTGACTCAGTCCTAGCTAATCTGTTCTTTTCACCCCTGGTTTTTACCGCCTCAATTACCTTTTTTAAAATCAGCATGCGGTCTTGTATATACAAATAGTAATGTATTGATAAATCAGTGGAGATCTCTGAAAGTAGCCAAACTGTTTGGAATTAGGTTTCTTACCATTAATTTTGCACCGTAACACCAACAGGAATAGTTAAATGATGTCCTCATAGAAGATTTAGTTTTTGAATTTAAATTATTTTGTAATTAAAAGTATTTTTTTGCATTTATTATCCGTTACATTTATTATTTTGTAAATAAAGTTATTTTATTTCTTCAGAGGACATCATTATTATAAGTATTATTTATTATTGATTTTGTAAATTCCAATTAAGATTAAGTTAGTTAATGTAAGATTTAAAGGTAGAATAGGATTATAAATATATTATATATTTATAAAAATGACGATGTATAATTTTGTAACTCTGGTTAACATTAGTCTAATGTTGCTTTTGTATTGTACATGCCCTTATAATGTCACTATAACAATTTCAATGATTCTTGTGTTTGTTTTTAAAAAAAGCTCTCTACTTTTATTTTATCAATTGTGACTCAGTGTTCAAATTAATGACACAGCATTTTTTCCTATCATATAAATATATTTATACTTATTAAAATTGTAAAAATCTTTTTATGTCTTTGATAAATAAAGTATTAAATTCATTAAGTCGATTTTTTTACATATCCTAAAACATACTCTACTTTCCACCATTGTTTTAATAAAATTTACTCAAAATGTAGGTCCAATACTAAAACAATTTTTACTACAAATTGTTGATGAATCACGATTTTATAAAATAAATTAAATTAATATTATTTGTTGTAAACATTTGGAGGTAAACCTTGAAAGAAGGTAAAATTATTGAGCCTTTTAGTGTTCTTCAAATCACTTGTCTAAAAATATTAAATAACTTCTTGATCAGCATTGTACGTGTTATTAAAGTTACGGAAAGTAAATAAAAGAAACGTCTTATAACACTTAAAACATATAATTACGCTTTTACTGTTACTCACAAGACGGTAAATATACAAAACAGATGATAAGTGGTGATCGATTTCGATTGGACACTCCAATCATCATCAGACCCGATAGGCGAAATTTCGTAAAAAATATTGTATAAAGTTTGAACTTTGTATTAAAAATTACATTATTTTCATCTTTTTGTGAAGGAGATGTGAGATAAAGAAGAGGTCTTATCTACCTTTTATAAGATATTTATATGTTTTTACTTGATAGGGGACCTCAAGTTTAAAGAAAGTGAATCCCAAATCACCTGGTTAGAGTACATTATAAACCTAAAAGTCGTTAGTAATTAGAGGAATACAAACCTAAGCCTCTAACAGAAGTCATGCACTCCAATTAATAGTTCAATAGACAAAACATTTTCTATTATGATCAATAATTTTGGCTAAGTCTCCAAAATAATTGAGGAGTAAAACCTTTGGTAGGAAATTGAAATCATCACTGCCATTGCTCAAAAATTTATTTTGCGTCTAACTCAGTTTCATTAGATAATTCTTAGGTAAATATTGCTAATGAATAAGACCTTTCAATTTTTTTTTTACATAGGGGTTGCTAGAGTCCAAACTCATTCATTGAGGCTGATTACCTCTAGCAAAGAGGCAGTATGTATAAAAACAAAATAAAACGTTTGTATATTTGAGTAGTAAAAATCTCTCTTAATCTACTTATTGTTAAGTACACATTATTTTACATTGAAAGGTGAATACTCCCTCGGCAGACTGTTGTAGTGAAGAGGTTTATCTTGGGTGCCACTGAATATCAGTAAAAACCCTTTGAATTTTCCCGTTGGTACTTGAAATATATGAAGAGGCTAAAACAAAATATCAACTGGAATTTACTAACTATAATTATCAAATGACAAAGGTAAATCAGCTATCAGAAAATAAAAAAGTCACACCTCAATTTGAAAAACTTAGATCCAGCTTTTTTCTCTAAGAATTTTATGGGGAAAGAATTTTTAAAGTCAAATAAGATTAATTTTTAAAGAGAACTAAGTTAACTGTGGTAAGAAAACATATTTTTTCAAATTGATTAAAAACTCTTTTTTGTGATTATATCTGGCATGTTATTAACAATAACTCTTAGCAAACCAATCAGCAAATACAACCTATTACTAGTAAAAAAATTTTTAAATCTCGATTATAGGCTTTTAGTTTAGCCTAGTTCTAAAATTAAGGGCACCAATATTTTTTTTTCAAATTTAACAAAGAGAGGCTGCAGACTATCCTAATAATAGACCTAATTATTCAAGCGAGGTTTTAAAATATATATCCTATATCTATAAACTCTGTCAGTGTACCGGAAGAATAAGTTAAACTCTTTCTAATGATGTGCATTATCTTCTATATAACTTATCGCTCATAACTTACGTGTATTTTAATTCGCAACATCCATACTCCTGAAGGTCGTTCACCCCAAAAGTGAACTGATTTGAGAGGCCATCCAATCAACCCTTTGAAGCTTATGTCATTCTTACGGGTCTCCAGAAGTGTAGATGTGGTACCTAAAAAGTTATATTGAATAGAGAATTTAATGTTTCTTTGCAATGGAATGAGATTACAAAACAGAGGAATGAAATTCTTTTAAGCTTCTGATTAAAAGAATGAATCACCATTGATCGATAATATAAAATCTCAGATTCACCAAGAATCCTCGTTTCTTGTTTTCATTAGCTCTCTGGGAAGTGAAATCAATAACTTTTGGAAACTTTAAAATTGCATGTGATCCTAAACATAGTTGTTATAATTTCTTTAATATCCAGTACAGTGGGGTCTACCAGCTAGGAGGAAATTTTACCGGGACAACGACCAAGGCCCACGATGGTGCGACGGGCTCTGCCACACGGGCCCCTTAGAGAAAATAAATTATTTATAAAAATAAGCACATCTGCATTAAAAAAATGAGGTTGACAATGACACTGAACAAAATATACACTCAAAGTTTTGAAGGATTACAACAGCTATTAAGACTGATTAATTTTGATGATTGCAATATAAATGATTTCTCATTATAGTCAATGAACCTCTTAATGTTACATGGATAATAATTTTCAAAAGTGATCTGTCCAAATCTTATTGTTTAATTACCAAAAATCACAAAAAAGTTTGATAATGTTCCTCTAGAACCAATAAACAATCCAATTACCTCAATTTTTTTGAAATTTTGCTCAAAATATTCAAAGGTTGATTCATATTTTTTTTTCTTTTCCTCATTTACTTCATTAGGTTGATTTAGGTTTATTTCAAATCAAATTGTTTGATCAAGAATCATCCCATTGTTTGTTTCTCTTTCGATCAATAAAACATCTGATCTTCTGGTGCTTCCGTTAGAAGAAAGACAGATTACTTCTTCATGCACTTCTCATGTATTATACCTTTTTCAGTGTACCTAGATTTCCTAGTGTACCTGTTGCTTGAAATCGAGCAATTGTCAAGTACCGGTAGCCTATTATACAGGAATTATACAAAAAAATAACAGTCATATTCTATGAGTGCTCAAAATCAAGCAATTGTCAAGTATCAATATTATACTGGCGTTATTTAAAACTGCAGTAATAACAGTCATTATTTTTTTTTTCGATAAGTTTAAAAGACTCGAAGCTTATGTAACTAATTGAAATACTCACTCTATTAATAAGGGGTTGAAATAATAAACTTATATCGTTGTTGTGACTTTGAATTAGAGTTCATAATAAGCACACATTTGAAGAAACTCTTTTATTGAAAATTGTTATGATTAACTATAATAAAGTAAAATGTAAACATTGAAAAACAATTATCATCTGTCTTGACCTTATTTGAATTATTAACTAAATCATATGAAGTCAAGATAGACTAAAGGATATGACAGTCTTCCCCACTAATTAAGAACAATCTTTTTCAATCAAATCTGGTAGTCTCTAAATCTTGAGGGCATGTGACGCTTACGCTGTGGTCTGGCGTTGGTATTATCAGCTTGCTCACGATGTGGTATGACATTCTCAGCTTGAGCTCTTTCTGCTGGAGATTGTTCTTCTGGTTGCCTTGGTTCTGGAGCTGCAACTGGATCTGGATTCCTATGTATTTGTGGTCGTCTTGGAATTCTGGGAACATCAAACAACTGCGTTGATCCGAATGTAACATTTTTCGTTTTTGGACTCTGTACCAGCGTTGGGCGTAGTTGATTGATGTGCCTCTTCAGGATTCTATCAGATGAGTCGAGAACTACGAGATAGTGTCTTTTCCCAAGCCTCTTCTTTACTTGACCAAACTGCCATATGTTTTCATTATTGATGAAAAGTTTGACCTGTACCCTCTCCCCCACATATAGTGAACGTGCAGGTGAAGACTGTGTAGTTGAAGGTTGAGGTTTGTACGGGAAAATGGCATTTAGTCTTATCCTTATTTTTCTGTGCAGGTAAAGTTCCGCCGGGGACTGACCACAAGCTAGCGGTGTTGCTCTGTACCTTTGTAAAATATTTTGAATTTTGGTTTGGATTGGAGTTTGGTCAGTTGAGACTGCTTTCAGGCGATTCTTTAGTGTTTGGATTGATCTCTCGGCTAAACCGTTTGTTGCCGGATGCCCTGGAGCGATGAATTTCTGGAAAATACCGTTTGTTTTGCAGTAATTTTGAAAAATATCACTTTTGAAAATGGTAGCATTATCTGAAACGAGTACTTGAGGATATCCATGACATGAGAAAATTCCTTCTAAAATATTAATTGTGTTCGCACTAGTAGGTGAGTCTTTGATGATTTTTACCTCCGCCCATTTAGATTTTGCATCAACACACATGAGAAAATATGTATTATCAAGCGGTCCTGCATAGTCGATATGAACCCTTTCCCAATTCTCTTGTGGTGTATCCCAGGGATGTACTGGAACTTTGGGAGGGCTGTGACGTGTGAGAGCACATTTTTCACATCCTTTGACAATACGTTCTATTTCTTTGTCGATACTGGGCCAGTAGACGTAGCGGCGGGCCAGCTGTTTCATTTTTGTTATACCTAGGTGGGTATAATGAAGTTCATTTAAGATTGATGGTCGTAAGCTTCTTGGAATAATTACACGATCTTGGCGAAATAAAATCCCGTCAACCAATGTATATTCTGTTTCATCAGACTTGTTTTTTAGATCTTTTACAATTCTTGATAAGTCTGGATCCTTTTCTGTTTCACTCCTTATTGTTGAAGCGGTTATGTGTTCATCTGACATCTCGAAAATCATTTGTTCGTATACTTGGTTGACTTCATTGGCAATGATTTCATCAACAGTCGAATTTATTTGCTGAAGTGGAGCTCTTGAGAGGCAGTCAACATTTTCATTTTCCTTGCCAGGTTTGAATTTTAATGTGTAGTTGAACCCGGATAAGTAAGATGCATATCGGAGTAAACGTCCTGATGTCATTTGAGGGAGTGCTTTGTTGTGCTGGAAAATCCGTGAAATGGGTGCATTGTCAGTTACTAGTGTGAAGTGAGTCCCAAAAAGGTAATAGTAGAAATGTGACACGCCAAAAATAATAGCGAGGCTTTCACGGTCTAATTGACTGTAATTTCTTTCAGAAACTGTAAGAGAACGAGAAGCATATGCAATGGGCTTTTCTTCTCCTTCTGTGACATGACTAAGCACGGCTGCAAGTCCTGTAGGGCTGGCATCTGTAGTTAGTACTAGAGGGAGAGCCGGATCGAAAGGTACGAGAACTCGATCACTGCAGAGCTCTGATTTGATTTGTAAAAATGCTGCTTCACAGGATGAATTCCATTCCCATTTCATATTTTTCTTTAACAGACGTCGCAGAGGATATGTGATAGTTGAAGCATCAGGGATGAAACGTGAGTAGTACGACACAAGTCCGAGTAGACGTTTGACCTCTTCAGTATTGGACGGGCGAGGCATCTGTTGGACTGCTTGAATTTTCGTTGGAGATTTACTAATTTTGTTGAACTCTACGACTCGTCCTAAATACTCAATTTTTTCTTGAAAAAATGAGCATTTGTTTCTGTTGACATGTAAATTGTAATCAGAGAGTCTCTGTAGACAGGCTTTTAAATTTTCACTGCATTCTTCAATGGTCGAACCATGCACAATAATGTCATCAAAATATGCTTCTGTCTTACGTAACCCCTTTAAGATCTGAGAGAGTATGCGGTTGAATTCTGATGGTGCAGTTTTGATGCCAAAACTGAGTCTATGTACTCTATAAGTACCTCTGTGAGTCGTCATTGTCTGTATCATGCTAGATTCTTCATCCACCTGGAGATGTAAATAGGCTTTGTAGAGGTCAAGTTTGCAAAAGTATTTTGAATTGCGCAAACTGTCAATAACATCATCAATACGCCTTATAGGATGATTTGCTTGAATTAGACGCTCGTTGACACCGCATTTGTAATCGACGCAGAGGCGGACACCACCGTCTGGTTTAGGAATGACAACCAGTGGCGATCCCCAATCGCTGGCCTCCACGGGTGAAATGATCCCTTCATTTTCCAGTGTGTCCAATTCCTTGTTCACTCGGTCGGTTAAAACATGTGGGACATTTCGTTCCTTAACAAAAATAGGTTTTGCACCATTTCAAAGCTGTAATGACACTTTGAAGTCTGGAACGCATCCAATTTTCTCTTCAAAAATGTTGGAAAAAAACTGAAAGATTTCTTCAGGAGACTGGATTCTTTTGATTTGGGAAATTTGAGTGCTTTGATTTGTGTCTTCATTCAATTTGTTCAGTTCGATTCCTAGGGCTCTTATCCATTGACGTCCCAAGAGTGCTTCGTGTCCTGTTGGAACAATGTGGAGTTCCTCTTTGACGCAACGTCCACAGTAAGTAACATTTATTTTCACTTTCCCTTCAGGTTTGATAATATTACCTGAGTAAGTTCTGAAAGCAATGTTAGTTGTTTCCAATGGAATATCCAATTTGAGTTTGTCGAAATCATTTTTAGCTAGAAGTGAGAATTTTGCTCCTGTGTCTACTTCGAATTGTTGTGGTTTACCATTGAGATTAACTGTGATCATGTATTTGTCTGAATCGTTATTACTTCAAACAGATCTAGTAACTTCGGGCTTGAATTGACATTAGTTACTTTATTTAGTCCGTAATCAGAAAATTTCGATGTAGACTCTGTAGGAGAACAGCACTGGATGTAGTTGGCTGCACTGGGAGAATTGATTTTCTTCTGTTCTGCGATAAGGGTCGAAATGCACACTTTAGATATGTGTCCTTGCTTGTTACATTTGTTGCACTTGAGCTTAGATTTGTCGGTGCGGCACTCGGATGCTTGGTGATTGTCTTTTCCACACCTGAAGCAAAGATTACCAATTCCAAGAGATTTCAGATCTGGACGTTTTCGAGAGCGTGAGGAGTGACCCTGTTGCTGTCTGGAAGGTCGATTACCGGTTTGGAATTGAGATTTCCTTGCTTTATGTGAAACTTTATTCACATCGTCACATATATTGAAATTTGCATTACTTGAATGTGAACGTTTAGACAGTTCCCTGGATTCAATTTTTGATGCTTCGAGGGCGATT